CATTTCATTTCAAGGCACATGCTTTTGATAAATCAGGCTTAAACAGCAAGAAATTTCAACATGAACATAATTTAGCACCCATTGCCCATGGGCCCACAATACCAGCTGGGTTTAAACAGGACAAATGTAAAAACAAACAGTACCAGGGCCATTACTACCCTGGGCTGGCCCATCCTAGAAGCACAGAGAGACTTATTTCCATGGCTGGGATCATTAAACACATACTAGGTATCCCTTGTTACAATATCTGTAATCCATTGTGAATATGTATACAGAGGGAATACAATAGTGTACGTGAGCCTGATCAAGCTTTGACACTAGGTGCAGACTGCCGTCCCGATAAGGACGGTCCACACACCCTGGGTGGCTGGCCAGCACTGTGTATGAAAGGCCTTATTCCAGAGGCAGCTATGGCAAGCTCCTCAGCTAGTCCCAGCTAGAACAGCAATTGACGCTTTGCTCATTAGCTTACTAACGTCTGAAGTGGACATTCATTGGTAAACTAAAAGTCTGCAAGATCTGTGGATTAGTTAAAGTCTCTTAGAGAGGCTCCACACTACTCCCTTCCACAGAGGGTGAGAATCTAGTGAGGGCCACAGCCAGGTTATTTAAGGGGGCTGCCTGGGGCTTGGTCCCTAAGTAGTCCGGGGCACAGCCACTGGCCGAGTTGGGCTTCTAGTTAGTTGCCTGGTGCAGAATGTAAAGGTGGGAGATTCCTCCAGGATGTGTTTGCAGCAGCCTGGAGCAAACCTTTCAGAGAAGACATTGGTAACAGTACTGTAAAGCCAGAGAGTGAGACAACTTCAGGGGTACGAAGTAGGCTTTTCACACTGTTTAGGCCCTGCTGGCCAACACATTTTTAAAAAAATTTTTATCGTCAGTTGAGGACATTTTTCATTGCTCTTTTAGAAAGAGAAGGGACAGAGGAACATCAATCAGTTGTCTCCTGTACATGCCCAGACTGAGGATCAAACCTGCAACTTAGGCGTGTGCCCTGACCAGGAATCCAACCCTCAATTTTTCGGTTATGGAATGATGCTCCAACCAACTGAGCCACACCACCCAGAGCCCAGTAGATATTTTTAATAAACAGTTGTTCATTAAGGAGAATCAGAAAGTGACTTCCACGTGATCCAGAAGTGGGGTCCGGTCCCTCTACTACCCACGTGCCTATGAAATTCCCACTTTGCACTGTTGCCGGGGCAATATTATTTATAGCACCACCTTCTACTCTCAGAATTACTCTAGTATGGACGATAAACTGTGTGGATATTCTACACAGTAGTGACATTGTGAGCATTAAAGCTGAGCCTTACGAAATTTGAAATTCTTCAGTTGCTGCTACTATCTCTACCAAGCTGTGAATACCATACTGACCCCTGAAATATGGACAAAATGTTGTGCAGAAATTTCAACCTATTTTCACAAAACTAAACTACAAAGCAGTCGAGTACTCTCATAATGCCTATTTCTAGGAATAGGTCTAGGCGATTTGAGTCCATTTTCCCATTGAGAACAGTTAAAGACGTTGGATACAAATGTATTTGTAAAATGTCTTAGAGGCATCAGAGAGGTCACAGAATGGGAATCACCATGTTAAACAAGGGGAGGATAGAAAGCAGAAAAATGAGCTAGCTGAGCAACCGCTTTGGCCAGGGGAGTATTTATCCCTCTCAACAAAACTGAGCTTTCTACTGACAGCTTCGTGGGGCCAGCGACAAATATTAAAGCTGGGGGCCAACCAAAGTATAGACACCTATGACAGTATGCTGGGGCCCAGGAACGCCAGCTCATCAGTGGATGAGTCATTAGCACCTGAAGGGACCAACTGAGATGGATTTAAAGGAATGCTAAACCCCACGGCGCCCCCAAGCCCCTGCACAAACTAGTGCAAATCCTCTCTGAAAGGCACTTTCATCCTAGACTTGAAGCTATTCTAAACCCTCATTGGGGTGGGGGTTTTCAGAGGTGGCAAACCACAGTTCCACCCTTCCCGCTGAAAACTGCCATAACCTACATAATAATCTACAAGTTACCAGGCATATTCCCAACTGTATTCCAGCAGCTCAGGCCTTCATTGTAACCTTTGCGCATGTGCACACACACACACACACAGAATTGATTAGTTTGGGCAGCCTCACTTGCATTTGTCGGTGTAATAAATTTATCCTTCGACGATCCTTCCACTCTATGTGACACTGAGCACTCCACATGTGCTATTTTTTTATTCATTTACTTTTAGAGCGAGGGGAAGGGAGGGACAAGAAAAGGGAGAGAGACATCAATATGTGGATGCCTCTCACACCCCTGCCTACTGGGGACCCAGCCCACATCCCAGGCATGTGCCCTTGTCTGGGAATCGAACCAATGACCTTTGGTTCGCAGGCCAGCACAGTCCACTGAGCCACACCAGCCAGGGCTCCACATTTGCTATTGTAGGAAATAACCTGTGTGTCCCTTCAAGTCTGGGTGTGACTTGGTGCTCAGTGGATGTAGCAGCAAGACCACAATTAGACCTCTGGCAACTATAATTCAAACCTTCCCACTAACGACTCTCACGGGGCACATTAAAACAGAAACATTACAAAGTCAGCTTAACCCTAAGTTTCCTAGAGTTTTAATGGGGAAGAAGAGACAGAGAGAAACTAATGCCTGCTTTTTTAAAGACAATATTCCATATATCTTCCTTTAGAGGTAGCAGTGCTGCCTGTAGGAAAAGCACGGTCTTAGTTAGAGAAGCATCTCATCTGAATACAAAGAACAGGACGGGCTGGTGGACGTTCAGTCTATTCCACTAAAGAGCCTTGTGACCTTGACAAAGACACCTGACCACTGAAAGGTCTTAGTTTATTCTTCTGTAAGATGACATTGGAGGTCTAGATACATTCTGTGGTTGCTTCAACATCCAGAATCAATGATGTCTATGTTTCTCTCGACTTCTCAGTGGAGGCATATCCTGTAGAAGTCAAGTTTATTCTACAGGCCACAAGGGATTCACACGTAAGTCATGATTCCAGACAAGATACTGAGGCAGAACAAGGCTCTACCCATTCAAAGCCACGCTGCTTGCTTCTTCAAACTTTTAAGGCTACCTTTTTATTTAGAAAACAGTGTGCGGGGTTTCAAAGTAACTCAAGCAATCCCTTTATATCCTAATAGGATAAAGTTTATGCATAATGCTGTGTGGCCCCTCAACTACTGACATCCATGTTGTGTTATTGTTAGTGTCGCATGTTAAGCTCGCAAATTTTTCAATGAACTCTTGCTGGCGTGACCACAGACACAGATGTTAGGCGGGCTCCTTTGTTCATACGGTTCTCATTATTAACTCGACCGGGGCTGAACATTTCACTGAAGGAAGGACCATATCATTATTTTCAGATTTCGCTCTATGACTTCACTGGGCTGCATCTGCCAGCCTTAGAAATGCCAAGTACTTCTCGGCGCCAGACTTGGTGTCCTGTTCGATGACTACCACCCCCAGCACTTCCTCAGCCGGAGGAAGTCTCCTCGCCATCAAAACAGTTTAATAGAAACTTCAATTGTGATTAAGAGTTACTCATCGATTGACAAGGCGTACCAAACATGCGCTATTTACAGATTATTCCACACAATATTTTAAGCCTAACAAATAGAATTTACATGCATAAAGGGGTAAGCTGGAAAGCCAGTTAAAGGTTTTCATGATTTATAAGCTCTGTGTTATATTTGAAACCACATTTTTTTAATAGGTAAAGTGGCATTCCATTGGATGATTCAATCTGCTTTAAATCTGTTCTAAGGCTCCGGATGGCTTATGGGACCTTCTGAATATAAATTTAATTCCTCTATTCACCTTTGGGCAATATCTCTCAGTATAAATGTGATCAGAGGATAAGGCAAAGGAATGTCTGTCAGTTGTAGGGTAGAACTCAAGTATTAAAATATTGACTCTAAAGCCACTAAGAAAATGTTAAAAATCATCCTGATTCCAAATGTAAAAAATATTGCACAAGCCTAGCTGAAGACATAAATTAACGTAACAACATAAAAGAAATAACAAAAGGTCATGCATATTACTGCTTCCATGTGTCTGAACCACGAACAATAATATAAGTAGGCAAGAATATTTTGAAACTATCTTTGATGGTTATTAGAAAAAAGTAATTCAATCCGTCTATGGGTAGAAAAGCCCAGTGGCGTACACTATAGTTGTCCCAAATAACTGAAAGAAGAGAGACCAGTTCTTCACCCTGAAAAGTTATACATCATAATCAGCTTCAGTGATTCTCGTGGCATCTCAGAGTATCTTGGGATGGGTGACCAGGGCAGCACCCCCATCCAATGCTCCAGAAACATCTGAGACGAAGGCCCAGTTGCCTCTTGAACAGTTCTGAGTTTTCATTTAATCGCTTAATTTGGCAGTTCTGTCTTCTACTCGATATCTCTAACCCGCAGAACTCTCTAAAAACAACAATCAAAACAAGCTCTCTTATAACTCTTACACTGGTTGAAGCTGATCTACTAGAAAATTTGAGGTTTACTTCCTCTTCTTTATGCTAGTTCATCAAACACTTGACTCAAGTCTCAACAATTTTTTCTCTCCTGTGGACTCTCCTTTCTGGGTGTTTTGAGTGGCTGAGATACACCCAAAAACCACCTTCGACCCCTACCGCCTATTTCTGCTGCTTACCCGTCACTCTTCGAATCTGGCATGCAGGAGCAAGTACTTGAGATCCAGTCTAACTAGTAATGGAGCACAGTGGGCCTAGTAGTTGTGAAGAATTAAAATGTAAATATTCATTAATGCAGACTAAATATGTCACATGAGAAGCAGGCTCTTAGCAAGACACAGAAATAACAGAAAAATCCTCCAACATGGAAGAAACCTTGGTAGCACTTACAGGAAATATACCAACCTCAACACACACAAAGACTCTGAAATAATTTTACCACCAAACATCATACTCTTCAGCCCCAATGTTAGTATTCAAAAGCTGAACTTTCATTTTTCTACTCACCATGTTGTATGTCTTTCATATCTAAATGAAGGCTAGACATTAATATTCCAACTGCTTGTGACCTTTTGTTGCTTAATAACTTGACAACCTGCTCGAGAAAGAAAGAGGGGAAATGTTAATTTGAACTCCATGGATATGTTTAATAACATGTGATTTTGAATCTTAAATGAAGAACACATACAATCATTAATTGAAGTATTCAAAAATGGTTTTCAAAGAGCTTTGGAGTTTTACGTCACGAAACTTCAAAACCTGCCATCTTTCCCAGCAGACACCACTGCCCTCAATGTCATGCTCTTGTACGGTCTTTTAAGAGCCTGATCTGCCAACAAGTACAATTTCTAATAGTTTAAAAAATCAGTGAGGTCTCTGTACAATAACGACTACATGCCTGAAATTGAAAAAGAGTTCCCTTTCTTATTGTGGAGCATTGAAACTGGTCAACGAGGGCAAAATAAGATACACAGAGAGACAACCTGTCAGATCACATCAGGTCGACCACACAGTAGGAAAGTGCTTTTCTTCAGGTCGTTTAGAAAGCTCATGAGTTCACTGCCAGGCCCCCTCATTCTGTATCTGGCCCACATGCCAACCAATCAACCAAGGATGTGAGCATCAGATCCAAAGGTCTGTGCACACTCAGTCTCCATCCTCCTCTCCAGAGAGTCTTGAAGAGTCATACAAGCTCACAAAATGTTCTAAAATAGAGGTGCGTGTGCTGCTGTGAAATAGACACATAAACTGTATTTTTCAAACACTAACACACCCTGGAAAGTCCTGCTGATGAGACTATTACCCCATATCCCAGTCTTGTGAAGGGCAATAGTTTCTACCTACCCTCAGCATTTTGTTAGAAACCCACCCAGAAAAACGCAGGCGGAAAGGGGAAAAAAGGTTATGGTTAAATTACCAGAAGTGACAGCTGTTCTAACAGCTATCACAGATGTTGACCTTGTCTTCCTTTTTGGTTTAAGTTGGGTCAATCAGGAAACTAATAAAATAATTGTGCCCAGCTGTCAAACAAATTCACAGCGTGAAACAATATTCCCAACAGCCATAATGGCATTCTTGGTTCCGTGGCAGGGATGGGGGTGGAGAAAAACACAAAATACTTTCAGAAGGACCAACCACAAGAACTCCCAGTTGTTTCTGAGTCTCCTTGCAAAGGAGCAACACCCTACAAGAGGCGGGGCTTCCTCAAAAGAACAAATTATACATACCTAAGTTTTGATTCTCAAAACTTAGAATAGTGACCCTAAGTTTCCTCATCTAAAAAAATTTAAAAACAGCATTAACTTCAAAAGGCTGCCATAGATATTCAGCACTTGTAACTCTTAGAAATATACTTAACAAATAGTGTATGGATTTCAATAATAATAGCTATAAAAGGAAAATACTTATGAAAGCATTTAAAATGTTTTCTCAAAAGTAAAATACCTGTCAACTTTTCATCACTGAGCTTAATTCGACAAGAGAATTAATTATTTTTCCTTACTCCCATGGTATTTTCCTAAGAAACTCAGACCCTTATTAGTTCAGAATCATAGTCTAGTGATTGCAAATAATTTTTCATAATCTTCCCTGGAATCCTACACGACCAATCACACCCATTTGCTTTGAACAGATACAGTATTAGGCCATGGAAGAGAATAGTATACATACAGCCCCAGTCAAAGCTTTCAGAAACCTGATACAGTTAATATAATTATGCAGCATAAGTAGAAATGTGGTTAAAATGAATATTAACTAAATTATGGTCTGAAGAATACTGCATCAAGGAGATAGCCTTCGTCTTATTTCTACTGTATATTATTTTATTGCTTCATTTAATTTATAAATGAAGCCAGTACTGGGAACTCATAGTAGAAGTACGATGATAGACACAGCAAGGATTTTGAGGATGTATTAAAAGTATCTGTGTAGATCATTAAATATTAATTAATTTTCCTATTTATCTTGACCTTCTATTACATGACTATACATGGAAATTCTAATAACAGGAGTCCCGGGACAGTATACAGTAATTAAATGAATAGATTCTCCAAAAGCTTAAGGTCGAGTGCAATTTGCATTAGAAATACTAAAAACTAGCCATCTTCACTAACCTGAGTTCTGGTCTCTTAGTCTTCACTTACCTTCTTCCCTCTGCCCACTGCCTTCCCCTTCTAGCAAAGGGGGCCCGGAAGAGCACAGGTAAGTTGGAACAGAGCCACACCCTAGAACAGTTCATCCTACTGTGTGCTCTACCTGAGCATACAGAGTGAAGGTAGGAAGCGAGCCAGTTCACAGGAAATGATGATCCCTTCCCTTAATTCTAACAAAGACCCTCATAGAGGGGCTGCAGCTCCAGCACGGGCATGCCCTTGGCATCTTACTTCGCTACTCTACTCTCTGGGTCCTGACCTATAAAACGGAGGACACACTTCACGGAGTGGTTGCTATGAGAATTACACGGGCGCAGAGGGATGCTCCCACCTCAAACTGTGAATCACAGGCCTATGCCAAGTCCTGTGTGTTACCTGCCCGTTAAGCAATAAATACATACAGAAATCGAGAGTGTTAGAAATGTTATAGCATATGATGCATCCATCCAGTATGATGGATAAATGTTGTGTCTGTCGAATCTAGATTGGTATGTCTTTTGGGGGGTTTTCTCTATTTTCATTTTTCCGGTAATATACTGCTATTTTACAAAAGTATCATAAAATGATGGACTGGATTTAAAAACCGGTCCTTCACTAGGACAGTTTGAGGGTACTAGGGCAAAGCACTTCTCCAGGCACAAAGGACTGTCCTGAGGGGTTCCAGACCGAATGTCTGTGTCACCCAAAGTGAATATATTGAAACCTCATTCCTGGCACGATGGTATTTGGAGGTGGCACTTTTGTTGGTGATTGTCATAAGGGTGGAACCCTCATGAATGGATTAGTGCCCTTGTAAAAAGGCCACAAAGAGCCCCCCGCCCCTTGCAGACTACAGAACACAGTACACAAGCAGATGTCTATGAAACAGGAAGAGGGCCCTCACAGGACTCTGAGTTTGCCAGCACCTTGATCTTGGACTTCTTGGCCACCATACCATGAGAAGCAAATCTCTGTTGTTCATAAACCACCAAGTCCAGGATGTATTCTGTTAGAGCACCCTAGATGGACTGAGGCACTGGGAAAGCAAATCCAGAATGGTAATGGAGACTTTAACCAAAGTGTACTCATCATTCCCCCCTGCCTTCCCCTGCAGCCCCGGGGCTACCGGGCCCTCGGGGAGACTGAGGATTCCCAGGGGTCAGAGGTGAAAGGCCATTCTGTTTTGCTGCCTCCGGCCCACCGCATCCTAGGCAGAGCCTCAGATTCAATATTAGAGCTGCTTTAATCCATTTTACATTACAGATTTTCCCTCTAAAATAAGTCAGGGGAAAAAAATCAATGTGAGGAAACCAAAGTGAGGGGATGTAGAACAACACATGCAGAAAGAAAAAAATCAACTGCTTTTTACCTTAAAGAAAAACAAATTACCAGCAGTGATTTTATCATCTTAGGGAAATGATTTCTTTTTACTGCTGAATTAATACAATTTTTAAAAAGAACTAAGTGGTAAAAAAACATGAAAAGAAACAATCGTTACTTACTCCTTCAGATATGTAATTTTTTAAAGATTTAATAATTCATCAGAATGATAACAGCAAGGGCTAATAACCCAATCACCACCATGAAATACAATTAAAATGTATTTTTTTACAAAGGCGCACTAAATCTAGTGGGACAGCATAACAATAATGCCTCCCCTTCCCCAAGACCAATGTCCCTTGAGTGACAGCCTCAAAAAACGCCACAGCGGAGTGCAGAGTGACTATCAGCGAGCACTCACGTACTCAAAGAAAATTGAAAGGGTGAGAAGAGCTTTAATCTGCCCACCAGTAATTTTAAATATAATCAAGAAGTCTCAGGTCACGTTGCAAAACCAAGTACTTTGGGAAGGAAAGAAAGGCCATGAGATCGCATTCACCTGTTTCACTGCCTGACAGTCAAAAAGTAAAACAATATAAAACTAATTCACTACACACGCCACATTAGCAATAACGTCCAATGCCACTCCCACGGTTAAAATTAGGGAGACATCCTTAACGCACTCCCCGGTGGTAAGTGTGAGCAACAGACTATTGTCAACATTGAAATAAGCAGAGAACAAAAGGCAGAGCTCATGAATACTTGGAAACTGAGCTTTCTAATACTGGACATAGCACATGTGGCTAATCAGGCCTTTGAAATATGCACAGACTTAAAAACCTGGGCTTTGTTAGTGAATGCACAATAGCTCACTGATCTTTTTTATACTGATTAGACGTTTCAATGACACTCTATTAGAGATATTCTATATTAAATATAATAGACTATTAATATTCATTTCAACTGTTTCCTTAGACTTTTTATATAACTACGAAACATTTAAAAATATGTAGCTTTCATTATATTTCTATTTGGCATCATAAGAAGTTCTAACAACTTCAGATGAATTACCGAACCCATGGAGCTTAGACCTGGAATTCCTTTTTGTTTTCAAGTTCCAAAATAAAGGAAGACAAAGACGGCAGCCGTGTCAAAGTCCCTTCCTTGGCCGTTGAGCAGGCCTCACATCCAGGTCACTAAAAAAAAAAAACTTACGAGCTACATGCCAAACGTGTCCCCTAGTAGCACAAGCAAAACATGTCAGAAGTAGACTTAGAGAAATGATATAACACGGATAGCAAAACTGAAGCCCTGAGTGACTTTGGAAAGATTCTTCTTTCCACCTTATGACAGACAATACGCTGGAGAATTGTAATACTCCACATGCAAAATCCCATCCCTCAGATGCACCAGCACCAAGGGTTTTTTGGACCTGCTGCCACTCCGTTAACAGAGCCCTTCCTCTTGTAAATTGTCTTCTGAAGGACTTCCTTCTGCAACAGACCAGCTTCCTCCTGCGGACTGCCCCACTGGATCTGAACGCCGCCTAATGTCGGCAAGCTGTAAATCATAGCTAACTTCCTTTGTCCTGTTTAACAGTTTTCTCCCTCGTACATATTCCTACATCCTTTGTTCTGTCCTCTTT